GAAACTTCTGTTATCCTGAGCATCTCTGCCAGGGTGCTCTGCTCACCTGGTGGTCGTGGTGGCTCGGACATTTTGTCTGCTCAGACTGAATCGTGTTATTTCATTTCAGAATGCAGTACAGGGAAAAAAAAAACCTTGTGCTGTGTTGTCTTGGTCTGTATTCTCTTAAGTGTTTCAATCCGCAGTTTGTCCTAACAGGAGCTGCTTTGTTAAATATTCCTGCTTTGTCTGTGAATATCTTCGTTGTGACCACGTGGAAAGGTACAGTGAAATTGTTTCATGGTGAGGGAAGGAAAGATGGTTTTAAAAAAAAAATTAATATTTGAAAGTAAGAGCCAGGAAAATGCTTATAGTGAGGAAATAAACTTGAAAACCAGGAAAAAAACCTGCAGACTGACTGTCTTCAGCCTGACCCCGGTGTCTGGGGCTGGGTGCTGAGCCCATCCTGCCCGCTGCTTGCTGGCCTGAACGGGACTTAGGTCATCACGTTATGTATCGTGTTATTATATATAAATTGTTCTAGGAATGAGACAGAAACGATGAAACAGCTCCAAGAAAGCTTAACTGCCTTTTCACATACCTTTGGTTGGCTTAAAGGAACAACATTAGAGCTTGCTGCCTACCCTGTGTCAAGGGATGCACTAAGAAAGCAACTTTTAAGCAAATCTAATTTTTCTAATGAACCTCAGGTAAGGTACAGGCGTGGTTACAGAAACACAGCTTGGCCTTCGGACGCTTGGCTCGTGCTGTGCTGCTGAAGTGCGCGTTACGCTTTGTACCTGGGGCTGGAAGTGCCTCTGCTCTGCCTCCATGGTTCTCCTTGGGGTGCCCTCTGCAGGGAGCAGCTGCCCCGGTGATCTCCAGGCGTGGAAGCCATCAGCTGGAGAAATCAGATTTGTCTAAGTCCAAGCCGTGAAAAACACGTGCAGGGAGGGCAAGCGGTGTGTGTGCACGCCTGGCTTTGGCTACATCCCTCACGCCTGAGTAGCAGTGAAGCTCTGAACTACGCAGTCCGAGCAGCAGGATAAATTCCGACGCCTGGCACCCCATCAGGCATTGCTTAGCACGCTCGTGTGGTTTCTGCTTTCCAGCTGTGGCTCGGGTGAAAACCCCCCCTCCACACCGGCGCCGAGCAGAGACGGGCTGACGAGCCTCACGCGGGTAGCTGGGGCGGCCGGGACCCGAGCCCAAAGTTTTCCCAGACTCTTCTGAGAGTTTCTAATGATCCCCTCTGCAGCGAAGCTCTGCTCAGCGAAGATTTACTGCAGGGATTTTATCGCTGAGGGCCAAAGAAGTAAACAAACCCCGAAGGTGCCCCCGCCGCGCGAGCCCGTGGGGCCGGC